CTCCAAAGAAAGCCGGCAGTGACATTGGTAAAGGAAAAAGAAAAGAGAAAAATAATTGTTGATGATATTATCTCTTCTTACTCAGTTTCATATGGCAAAATCTACCATCGATACTATTCTTATAAATAAAAAGACGATCACGTCTTTTCTACCTTTTTCCAAACAATACCATCTCTTTCCTTCCTCTTCCACTTACGTCATCAACTCTCCTACTTAAAGGTACGCTAAAATTAAAATGTTCCTCTCTATTTTATCTGTTTAGTATTGGGTTTATTTATTTTTTCCTAGATTTAATCATTTCATTAGTTTTGTATATAAACTTGTGCACAAAATACTGTTGTAAAAGTTTAAATAAGCAATCACTTTGGGACCAGGAACGGATTAATCCATTTTACATTGTAAACTTTTGTAAAGAATAGTTTCGGTTTCCGAACATTTCGGATTACGAATGAACTTCAGGAGCGTACTCGCAAATTACACCCTATAAGCTTCACCTTTTCTCTGACGCTATGTGAAGGGCCTGGTCTATGTCCTGCCTCTTTCTACATGCCGAGAGACACCCAAGCAGAGAACCACTGCCGCCCTGGAAGTGGTTACCCAAGACATACTGTATCGTTTTTGACAGGAGCTGGACAACTAACTCGACGTGTGCCGTGCCAAGGGCGGTACCCGTATTAAAAACAAGTGAAATCGTTCATGAGATCCGCTGACCTTTGATCTTCTCATACAGATTTTGATGAATAAATCTCATCTTGCTCAACAATAATCCTGTTTATTCTCATTTGCCAAGACCATGTAGTTATTCAGATGTTTACATCTCAAAAGATGCTTACCTCCAGGAGAGTGACTCGTTGTGACTTTTCTAGCGAACGTTTTCCATTGACATGAAGTTTAAAGATTACATTGAATCAATTGGTCAACTTTAATGTTTCAAAAACAAAACTGCTCTCTATTAATCACTACAGAGATCCTTCCTTGCCCTCCATTAGAATTTCTGACGCTCAACTTCTCGAGAGCAAATCTCTGCGGCTGCTCGGTCTCACGTTGACGGCTGATCTGAGATGGAACAAATACATTGAGTCAATTGCTTCGTCCACCGCAAGGAAAGTTGGCTCCCTGTGCCGCACCAGGAAATTTTTCTCCCCGGAATCGATCCTCCAGATCTACAAATCAACAATTCGCCCTTGCATGGAGTATTGCTGCCATATATTGTCTGGAGCCCCTTCTGTTTGCCTCGGGGTTCTTGATAGGCTCCAGAGGCGGATATGCAATATAATTGGCCCTGCTCTGGCATCTCGTCTACAGTCACTTTCTCACAGACGCGCCGTCGCCTCTCTCTCTGTCTGTTTTACAAATATTTTCATGGAAATTGCTCCGAGGAGCTGCATTCGCTGGTTCCCAGACGTCATGAGTTCAAGCGCCCTACGAGGCTGGCATCCCGCTCTCACCCCTTCACTGTCGAAACTCCTAAATGTAGCCGTCTCTTCTACTCCAATAGCTTCATGTCTCGCACGTGGAAATCCCTTCCCTTCTCCTGTTTCCCTGTAAGCTATAATCTCCAGCTATTCAAATGTAATGTCAATCGACATCTCCAGTTGCCTTGATCTATCCACTACCCTCATCCTTTCTTCTATCACTCTTATCTGATCTTGCTCTAAACTTTCTGTAACCCCTTGCGTCCTAGTGGCTTCCCATCTTGCTTGGGGTGAAATGCTTTAAAAAAAAAATTGCGAGGTTTCTAATTAGGGAAGTCGATGCACTGGGTCGTGCTAGACAATTTTTCTTGTCAGAATGTATTTTACAAATTTATCAGTATACCATTTGTCCATGCTTAGAATATTGCTGCCATATATGATCGACTTCTGTTATGTATTTAGAGATTATTGATAACATCCCCACCAAAAGAAAAAAAAATCTGCAATGTCATTGGTCTTGATCTGGCATCTGGCATTCTGTTAATTTCCCACCACCGTAATGTAGGTTCCCTGTGCATTTTTCTATAAATACTTTCATAGTAATTGAACTGAGGAACTAGACTTTATGAATTTAAGCGCAGTACTAGATTGGCGGTAAGGTCTCATCATTTTACAGTTGAAATGGCTAGATGTGACCGTAGGTTCTATGCTAGCAGTTTCATTTCTCGCACTTCTTCCTCGTGGAACTCTCTTCCAGTTTCTTGTTTTACAGTCAAGTTTGATTTTCAAAAATTATATCCAATGTCAATCGTTATTTTGACTCTTCACAATTCTTGTTCTTTTATTGTCCTCTCTCCTTAATAGTAGTTTTTCTCATATTCTCTAACACTCAGTAACCACTTCCGTCCTAGTGGCTTTATTGCCTTTGATCTTCAAAAATATAAATGCAATGTCAATCGTTACCTTCTGACTTCTTAATTCCTGTTCTGTTAGTGTCCTCTCTCCTTAATAGTAGTTTTTCTCATATTCTCTAACAATCAGTAGCTCCTTGCGTCTTAGTGGCTTTATTGCCTTTGATCTTCAAAAATTTAAATGTAATATTAATCGTTACTGAATTTACAAAATCTTTCTCTTAAAACATTTTTGCAGAAAATAGGCTTCTCAAGTGCACTAATAGATCTTTCCACTACTAATGAGAGTTTCCTTACTAACTTTTTGTTTGAGGTAGTGTAGAAAGTTGTGGTTGTAAAGGAAAGAAAAGTAAAGACTGTCAACTTTTTGTAGCAACAAACGTCTGCAATAGATTTCTTCTGTCTCTCGACCACAACACTTGTAGCCAAATCACAGTTCAAATTCTGACTTCTTAATTCCTGTTCTGTTAGTGTCCTCTCTCCTTAATAGTAGTTTTTTTCATATTCTCTAACACTTAGTAACCCCTTGCATCCTAGTGGCTTTATTGCCTTTGATCTTCAAAAATTTAAATGCAATGTTAATCGTTATCTTATGTCTTCTTAATCCTTGTTCTTTCATTGTCCTCTCTCCATAATTGTATTTTTTCTCATATTCTCTTGTACTCAGTAACCCCTTATGTCTTAGTGGCTTTAGTATCTTGCCTGGGGGGAAATTTAAACGCAATGTCAATCGTTATCTTCTGTCTTCTTAATTTCGTTTTTTTTTTCATTGTTATCTTCCCTTAATAATGCTTCTCTTTTTTTATATTCTTTCACAGTCAGTGAGCCCGTGCATCTTAGTGTATTTATTACCTTCCTTGAACGCTTTAACCTTCAATATCAGCAACAACTTAAATAGACAGTACAGAAAGAGAATAAGTACATAATCAAAGCGTCGATATTTTAATATATTCATCTAAAGCAAGGTAATAAAGCCACTAAGACACAAGAAGTTACGAAGTGGCAAAGAATTGCAAGAAAAAAAACAGAGAAAAATTATTAAGGAGCGAAAACTGTTGTTGAAAGCATAAAATTGTGTTCAAAATATTTAGATTTATCATTAAGTGACCCATAGAAGTGTTGATACACCGCAAAAAAAAAAAATCAACAAACCAACAATATATTTTGTCAGCAGTTGAAGCCATAAATTTGTGTACAAAATATTTAGATTTCGGTAATAAATGACCCATAGATGTGTTGATATGCCGCGAAACAAAATCAACTGACCAACAATACATTTTGTCAGCAGTTGATGTCATAAAATAGTGTTCAAAATATTTAGATTTCGGCACTAAATGACCCATAGATGTGTTGATATGCCGCCCAACAAAATCAATCAACCAACAATACATTTTGTCAGTTGAAGCCATAAAATTGTGTTCAAAATATTTAGATTTCGGGATTAAATGACCCATAGATGTGTTGAAATGCCGCCAAACAAAATCAACCAAGCAACAATACCTATTTATAGTAAGATTACCAACAGTATGTGTTGGTTAGAAGGTTCGCTTTTTGGTCATGAAATCCGGGTTCGAATCTGACCATGGTCGATTTATCAGGAAGATGACTTCTCGATGTTATCGCTCTAGAGGAGGCGACCGCATAGTGCAATACCTTTGGAAAATACCTAAAAAATACCACAGGTTGACCCAAGCCAATGAATTTGGGTAAACGGGACCGTTGGGGATCGTCCATGGTTATGCTAGTCATCGTGACCGAGGTTCTGAGTGTGCGGGCCTTGTTCAGATTGTTGTTCACGCTAGACAACACGTTTCTCTCCTAAAAACTGTAACTAAGTTCTGCTCAGCATAGTTGCCGTATAAACTACTGGTGGGTTCGGTGGGTGTTAAGCAAACACAAATGTGCCTGAGCAGACGTCTGCAATAGGGATTAGCTAGCCGCTTTATTAGACGGAGATCGCCGAATACGAGTGGTCAGCCATTAACGATTAACTAAGAGTACCTATTTACAGTAAAAATTACCAACAATACCTATTTAAAGAAAATAGGCAACAAAATATTTAGATTTCGACATTAAATAACCCATAGAGGTGTTGATATGCCGCTAAACAAAGACAACCAACCAAACCAATCAAAATATTTAGATTTCAGCTTTAAATAACCCATAGAGGTGTTGATATGCCGATAAACAAAGACAACCAACCAAACCAATCAATATATTTAGATTTTGGTCTTAAATAACCCATGGAGGTGTTGATATGCCGCTAAACAAAGACAACCGACCAAACCAATCAAAATATTTAGATTTCGGCATTAAATAACCCATAGGGGTGTTGATATGCCGCTAAACAAGGACAACTAACCAAACCAACGAAAATATTTAGATTTCGACATAAAATAACCCATAGGGGTGTTGATATGCAGCTAAACAAATACAACCAACCAAACCAGTCAAAATATTTAGATTTTGGTCTTAAAAAACCCATGGAGGTGTTGATATGCCGCTAAACAAAATCAACCAAACACCAATAGATTTTTTATCTGTAGTTGAAGCCATGGCCCATAGAGGTGTTGATATGCCTCCTATAAGAAAGCAACCAACCAATCAAGCATGCTTGACACAGAAAATGTTCCTAGAAAAGTTTGTTTTGAGTTTCTGGTGAAGAACTCCAGGAATGCAAGCTTACCGGTCGGAAACGAAAACCCGTGCGAAAGACGAAAGTGAAACGATAAATAATTATTACGACAGTGAATTAGGTTTGCCTGATGAGAAACTGTTTATATAATTTACTTATATAAAGGAGAACACTTAGAAAAAAAAAGAAAGAAAAAGATATAGACAATTTTCTTTTCTCTAGTTAAAAAGAAAAAGAAAAGAAAGAACTTTTATTTTTTTTATTTCCCGTGGGAACGTTAATAAATGTGTTGGTGTCATATCTATTATTATTAAAAATTTTCGTTTCGGATACAGGAGACCTCGAAGCAAAGTGTGTGAAGACCTAATTGCTCTTAAAGTCAATGTGACCGGGAGGTAATAAATAGGCTTTATCAAATGAAGAGAAAAGGTGCCATGTTATTGATAAATCGACAAAAGCCACTCAGAATTATTTCGCTTTGTATTTTGGTTGTTTTTTTTTTAGACGAAGAATTATCAAAACTTACGGTTATTAATATTGTCGGATTGTTATATCCATCTTAATTTTTATTCGAAATTTTTTATTTAACTAATTTATAAACACAAAATGAAGCATTGTCAGCCATTATTATTAATTATTGACAAGTATTTGCTTTCATCTTCGTTTTTTATTAAATGAAGCATTGTCAGCCATTATTATTAATTATTGAATAGTATTTCCTTTCATCTTCGTTTTTTATTAAATGAAGCATTGACAGCCATTATTATTAATTATTGACTAGTATTTACTTTCATCTTCATTTTTTATTAAATGAAGCATTGTCAGCCATTATTATTAATTATTGAATAGTATTTCCTTTCATCTTCGTTTTTTATTAAATGAAGCATTGTCAGCCATTATTATTAATTATTGACTAGTATTTACTTTCATCTTCGTTTTTTATTAAATGAAGCATTGACAGCCATTATTATTAATTATTGACTAGTATTTACTTTCATCTTCATTTTTTATTAAATGAAGCATTGTCAGCCATTATTATTAATTATTGACTAGTATTTACTTTCATCTTCGTTTTTTATTAAATGAAGCATTGTCAGCCATTATTATTAATTATTGAATAGTATTTCCTTTCATCTTCGTTTTTTATTAAATGAAGCATTGTCAGCCATTATTATTAATTATTGACTAGTATTTACTTTCATCTTCATTTTTTATTAAATGAAGCATTGTCAGCCATTATTATTAATTATTGACTAGTATTTACTTTCATCTTCGTTTTTTATTAAATGAAGCATTGTCAGCCATTATTATTAATTATTGACTAGTATTTCCTTTCATCTTCGTTTTTTATTAAATGAAGCATTGTCAGCCATTATTATTAATTATTGACTAGTATTTCCTTTCATCTTCGTTTTTTATTAAATGAAGCATTGTCAGTCATTATTATTAATTATTGACTAGTATTTACTTTCATCTTCATTTTTTATTAAATGAAGCATTGTCAGCCATTATTATTAATTATTGACTAGTATTTACTTTCATCTTCGTTTTTTATTAAATGAAGCATTGACAGCCATTATTATTAATTTTTGACTAGTATTTACTTTCATCTTCATTTTTTATTAAATGAAGCATTGTCAGCCATTATTATTAATTATTGACTAGTATTTACTTTCATCTTCGTTTTTTATTAAATGAAGCATTGTCAGCCATTATTATTAATTATTGAATAGTATTTCCTTTCATCTTCGTTTTTTATTAAATGAAGCATTGTCAGCCATTATTATTAATTATTGACTAGTATTTACTTTCATCTTCATTTTTTTAAATGAAGCATTGTCAGCCATTATTATTAATTATTGACTAGTATTTACTTTCATCTTCGTTTTTTATTAAATGAAGCATTGTCAATTTATTATTAATTATTGACTAGTATTTCCTTTCATCTTCGTTTTTTATTAAATGAAGCATTGTCAAATTATTGACTAGTATTTCCTTTCATCTTCGTTTTTTATTAAATGAAGCATTGTCAGTCATTATTATTAATTATTGACTAGTATTTACTTTCATCTTCATTTTTATTAAATGAAGCATTGTCAGCCATTATTATTAATTATTGACTAGTATTTACTTTCATCTTCGTTTTTTATTAAATGAAGCATTGACAGCCATTATTATTAATTTTGACTAGTATTTACTTTCATCTTCATTTTTTATTAAATGAAGCATTGTCAGCCATTATTATTAATTATTGACTAGTATTTACTTTCATCTTCGTTTTTTATTAAATGAAGCATTGACAGCCATTATTATTAATTATTGACTAGTATTTACTTTCATCTTCATTTTTTATTAAATGAAGCATTGTCAGCCATTATTATTAATTATTGACTAGTATTTACTTTCATCTTCGTTTTTTATTAAATGAAGCATTGTCAGCCATTATTATTAATTATTGACTAGTATTTTTTCATCTTCATTTTTATTAAATGAAGCATTGTCAGCCATTATTATTAATTATTGACTAGTATTTCCTTTCATCTTCGTTTTTCATTAAATGAAGCATTGTCATTATTATTAATTATTGACTAGTATTTACTTTCATCTTCGTTTTTCATTAAATGAAGCATTGTCAGCCATTATTATTAATTATTGACTAGTATTTACTTTTCATCTTCGTTTTTATTAAATGAAGCATTGTCAGCCATTATTATTAATTATTGACTTATTTACTTTCATCTTCGTTTTTATTAAAAATGAAGCATTATCAGCCATTATTATTAATTATTGACTAGTATTTCCTTTCATCTTCGTTTTTCATTAAATGAAGCATTGTCAGCCATTATTATTAATTATTGACTAGTATTTACTTTCATCTTCGTTTTTCATTAAATGAAGCATTGTCAGCCATTATTATTAATTATTGACTAGTATTTACTTTCATCTTCGTTTTCATTAAATGAAGCATTGTCAATCATTATTATTAATTATTGAATAGTATTTACTTTCATCTCCATTTTTATTAAATGAAGCATTGTCAGCCATTATTATTAATTATTGACTAGTATTTCCTTTCATCTTCGTTTTCATTAAATGAAGCATTATCAGCCATTATTATTAATTATTGACTAGTATTTACTTTCATCTTCGTTTTCATTAAATGAAGCATTGTCAGCCATTATTATTAATTATTGACTAGTATTTCCTTTCATCTTCGTTTTTATTAAATGAAGCATTATCATTATTAATTATTGACTAGTATTTCCTTTCATCTTCGTTTTTCATTAAATGAAGCATTGTCAGCCATTATTATTAATTATTGACTAGTATTTACTTTCATCTTCGTTTTTCATTAAATGAAGCATTGTCAATCATTATTATTAATTATTGAATAGTATTTACTTTCATCTCCATTTTTTATTAAATGAAGCATTGTCAGCCATTATTATTAATTATTGACTAGTATTTCCTTTCATCTTCGTTTTTCATTAAATGAAGCATTGTCAGCCATTATTATTAATTATTGACTAGTATTTACTTTCATCTTCGTTTTTCATTAAATGAAGCATTGTCAATCATTATTATTAATTATTGAATAGTATTTACTTTCATCTCCATTTTTTATTAAATGAAGCATTGTCAGCCATTATTATTAATTATTGACTAGTATTTCCTTTCATCTTCGTTTTCATTAAATGAAGCATTGTCAGCCATTATTATTAATTATTGACTAGTATTTACTTTCATCTTCGTTTTCATTAAATGAAGCATTGTCAATCATTATTATTAATTATTGAATAGTATTTACTTTCATCTCCATTTTTTATTAAATGAAGCATTGTCAGCCATTATTATTAATTATTGAATAGTATTTCCTTTCATCTTCGTTTTTCATTAAATGAAGCATTGTCAGCCATTATTATTAATTATTGACTAGTATTTACTTTCATCTTCGTTTTTCATTAAATGAAGCATTGTCAATCATTATTATTAATTATTGAATAGTATTTACTTTCATCTCCATTTTTTATTAAATGAAGCATTGTCAGCCATTATTATTAATTATTGACTAGTATTTCATTTCATCTCCATTTTTTATTAAATGAAGCATTGTCAGCCATTATTATTAATTATTGACTAGTATTTCCTTTCATCTTCGTTTTTTATTAAATGAAGCATTGTCAGTCATTATTATTAATTATTGACTAGTATTTCCTTTCATCTTCATTTTTTATTAAATGAAGCATTGTCAGCCATTATTATTAATTATTGACTAGTATTTCCTTTCATCTTCATTTTTTATTAAATGAAGCATTGTCAGCCATTATTATTAATTATTGACTAGTATTTTCATTTCATCTTTTTTTTTATTAAATGAAGCATTGTCAGTCATTATTATTAATTATTGACTAGTATTTCCTTTCATCTCCATTTTTATTAAATGAAGCATTGTCAGCCATTATTATTAATTATTGACTAGTATTTCCTTTCATCTTCATTTTTTATTAAATGAAGCATTGTCAGCCATTATTATTAATTATTGAATAGTATTTCCTTTCATCTTCGTTTTTTATTAAATGAAGCATTGTCAGCCATTATTATTAATTATTGAATAGTATTTCCTTTCATCTTCATTTTTATTAAATGAAGCATTGTCAACCATTATTATTAATTATTGACTAGTATTTACTTTCATCTTCATTTTTTATTAAATGAAGCATTGTCAACCATTATTATTAATTATTGACTAGTATTTCCTTTCATCTTCATTTTTTTATTAAATGAAGCATTGTCAGCCATTATTATTAATTATTGACTAGTATTTCCTTTCATCTTCATTTTTATTAAATGAAGCATTGTCAAATTATTATTAATTATTGAATAGTATTTCCTTTCATCTTCGTTTTTATTAAATGAAGCATTATCAGTCATTATTATTAATTATTGACTAGTATTCCTTTCATCTTCGTTTTTATTAAATGAAGCATTGTCAATTCATTTTTATTAAATGAAGCATTGTCAGCCATTATTATTAATTATTGACTAGTATTTCCTTTCATCTCCATTTTTTATTAAATGAAGCATTGTCAGCCATTATTATTAATTATTGACTAGTATTTCCTTTCATCTTCGTTTTTTATTAAATGAAGCATTGTCAGTCATTATTATTAATTATTGACTAGTATTTACTTTCATCTTCATTTTTTATTAAATGAAGCATTGTCAGCCATTATTATTAATTATTGACTAGTATTTCCTTTCATCTCCATTTTTTATTAAATGAAGCATTGTCAATTATTATTAATTATTGACTAGTATTTCCTTTCATCTTCGTTTTTTATTAAATGAAGCATTGTCAGCCATTATTATTAATTATTGACTAGTATTTCCTTTCATCTTCGTTTTTTATTAAATGAAGCATTGTCAGTCATTATTATTAATTATTGACTAGTATTTCCTTTCATCTCCATTTTTTATTAAATGAAGCATTGTCAGCCATTATTATTAATTATTGAATAGTATTTCCTTTCATCTTCGTTTTTCATTAAATGAAGCATTGTCAGCCATTATTATTAATTATTGACTAGTATTTACTTTCATCTTCGTTTTTCATTAAATGAAGCATTGACAGCCATTATTATTAATTATTGACTAGTATTTACTTTCATCTTCGTTTTTCATTAAATGAAGCATTGTCAATCATTATTATTAATTATTGAATAGTATTTACTTTCATCTCCATTTTTTATTAAATGAAGCATTGTCAGTCATTATTATTAATTATTGACTAGTATTTCCTTTCATCTTCGTTTTTCATTAAATGAAGCATTGTCAGCCATTATTATTAATTATTGACTAGTATTTACTTTCATCTTCGTTTTTCATTAAATGAAGCATTGACAGCCATTATTATTAATTATTGACTAGTATTTACTTTCATCTTCGTTTTTCATTAAATGAAGCATTGTCAATCATTATTATTAATTATTGAATAGTATTTACTTTCATCTCCATTTTTTATTAAATGAAGCATTGTCAGCCATTATTATTAATTATTGACTAGTATTTCCTTTCATCTTCGTTTTTTATTAAATGAAGCATTGTCAATCATTATTATTAATTATTGAATAGTATTTCCTTTCATCTTCGTTTTTTATTAAATGAAGCATTGTCAGCCATTATTATTAATTATTGACTAGCATTTACTTTCATCTTCATTTTTTTAAAATGAAGCATTGTCTGCCATTATCATTAATTTTTTATTAGTGTTTACTTCATGTATTTGTTGTCTTAAATGAAGCGTTGGCAGCTGTTGTTAATGATTTTTAAGTCGTTCATGTTTTCCATATTTATGGGAATGCATTTTCATCTAGGCAAATTATATTCAAACTTCATTAAGACAAACATTTCCAGGTCAAAATTTTGATCATGAATGTCTCGGTGACACTCAGTACATTGAGTGCGTTCTTTTGTTTATGGCCTGTTCTCACTAAAATAGATAACGACATATTGCCAACCATATTGACCTTGAAGAAATAAGTAAATAAATTGAATTAATAAATAAAAATAAAACTCAATTGAAATGTCATTTATCTAATAATACAGTTATAGTAAAATGAACTGTTCAGTCACTTTCTGATGAAGGCGGTACATAGCCGAAACACGTCGAAGCAATTTAAGTTGTCTCTCATCTCTCCTATCTTTCTCTCTCTCTCTCTCTCTCTCTCTATATATATATATATATATATATATATATATATATATATATATACGCATACACCGGGTGTAACAGAATAATTATCCATCCTACAAAATGTTTAATATCTAGAAAAACACTTAACTGAGTTACTTTTTTTCATGTTTTCAGATAAGACGTTTAACCAATTTGACACCATTTGTTGTAAGAATCAATAAAAATCCTTTGAGTTATTTCGCTAGAAAGAAAACAGAGAATCAGTTTTGTGTCTGCCCCACTATGTCTTTCCAACTGAGTAATGGTGAGAGGAAAAAGATCATTCAGGCCTTCAGTAATGGTAGCAACATTCATACTGTGGCTTCCATCTTCAAAGTCCATTCAAGAACCATCAAAGAGAACGGTGAATAAGTTTTAAAAAGTGTGAAGTGTGGAGAAGAAAACTGGATCAGGAGGTCACAACAGGAATGGGGATCAACATATCAACTTAGAGCTAAAGAGATCAATTAGAAAAGATCCAACTCAATCCATAAGAATTTTGACATGTGAGAAAGGAGTTTCACCTATAATAGTCCAAAGGGCAGTGAAAAAAGACTTGAAAATGAAATCGTAGCTAAAACCTGTGAGGTAACTTGTTACTCCAGGACAGAAAGTTAGAAGGTTAGAGAGGGCGAAGATCATTTTGAATAAGTTGGAAATTGATCCTGGAATAATATATATGTATTTCAATCCTTCATAAGCTTCAGATCCTTTGCTATGATTAGTAATGATGAACATGTCATGTTAGTTTATGATCGACTTCATCACGATTCTCCTGTTAAGCTTGACATTCTTACTACTCAAAGTAGAGCCCACTAGTGTTATACAAACCTCGGAGAATTCCAGTAATATATCTTTAATCATTTCTAAGATACAGTAAGTTTCGAGCTTAATGTAACAATTGGACAATTTTGCTTTTACACGATTTGGACAATTTGTTACACCCGGTATATATATATATATATATATATATATATATATATATATATATATATATATATATAAAAAATCTCAGACATGTCAGTTTAAATAATATGGACAAGTTCTATCAATTTTTTTATTCAAAGTTGTTTTGCTATATTTATTCATTTTTGCCGTTTTACAAAAGTGTTTGTTGATAGATCAAAAATGACTTGACCCATACAGTTGTGTGTTCAATCTCTGTCCTTGGCAGTGAGAAAAAAGCTTAGAGAGTTATCAAGCCGAATTACCTAAAACTGAGATATCCAAAAAATGCATGGTACGTGAACTTAGAACAATCAACCACCGTGGACTAAATAAAGGCTTCCGTTCGAAATTCCAGCAAATATCACCTGAAGAAGTCCGGAACGTAAAATGGCCGAAACGTCGTGCACGTGACAGTAACGATGAAGACAACAGTCTAAACAATGTAAATAGTATAAATAATTACATTACCTCATCTCAGGAAATATAGACATGTCCTGAACAAAGCCGGAGCGTATAATGGCTGAAACGTTGTGAATATTGCAATAATGATGAACACAACTGTCCGAACGATGTAAATAGTGTAAACAGTTACAATACCTCATCTCATAAATATAAACAGATCCTGAAGAAGGCAGGGGCATACAACGGCCGAAACATGGTGAATATAGCAATAAAGATGAGGACAACAGTAAATGAAGCGGGTAAATCTGTTTGTATTTGAAAGTCACTTTCTGATGAAGGCGGCACATAGCCGAAACATGTCGAAGTAGTCTAAATTGTCTCTCATCTCTCTCCCCCGCCCCCCTCTCTCTCTCGCTCTCTCAAGTGTTTTGTATTACACTTTTTGTTGTTTTGTCATCGTCAATTTAAGTAGCTTATGTACGGCTTTCCCCTGTCTCTCTGGCTTTCAATATGACTTGTGAGTGTCAAATTTGCCATGCCCTCTTTCCTGATTATGTGCGCTAGAAATTTCAACTATTGCGTTCTGATGTATAAGTGAGTTTTTATTTCTATATTCTCTAAAGCTTTATCGTTGCTCAAGTGTTCAGTCCATGGTATCCCCAGCATCCTTCTGTAGAACCAGATATTAGCAGCCTCAAGATTCTTCGCCCTCTGTGAGAAGATTGTCCAGCATTCAATGGAATATAAGAGAAATTATATTACATAACAGTTCAGAACCCTTTTCTCTGTTTCGAATTAAATGTTCCTGGTTCTTTGCCTAGCTTTTGGAAGTCAATTTTTGGCTATCCTGATGCAGATTTTGTCGTTGCATTTTGACGTCGTCCCCTGTTAAAACACTTACTAGACGGGAGTGCCACTAACACGTAAGGGGGGTGCAGAGAGCGAGAGCAAGAGTAAAGAGGGTTTTTTTGAGGAAAGGATACAGAGAAGGACGGGTATCAGGATCAAGGCATCAGAAGATGTCGATTGACATTACATTTGAATATTTGAAGATTATAGCTATCAGGGAAGCAAGCAAGAGGAAGGGAGTTCCACTGTCGGGAAGTGCGATAGAAGAAGATGTCGGAGTAGAGAGACGGTTACATTTAACTGTCTCGACAGTGAAAGGGTGGGACCGAGATGCCAACCTAGTAGTACGTTTAAATTCTATCTATCTATCTATCTATCTATCTATCTATCTATCTATCTATCTATCTATCTCAAATTGTTCCTATCTATCTATCTATCTATCTATCTATCTATCTATCTATCTATCTATCTATCTATCTATCTATCTCACTCTATTCATAATATATGTATTTATCTATTTCATTATATTCATATCTATCTATCTATCTATCTATCTATCTATCTATCTATCTTCATAATCCATCTATCTTTTCCATTCATCATTATCTATCTATCTATCTATCTATCTATCTATCTATCTATCTATCTATCTCACTGTATTCATAATCTATCTATGTATTTATCTATGTCATTATATTCATATCTATCTATCTATCTATCTATCTATCTATCTATCTATCTATCTATCTATCTTAGTCTCTTTAGACTATATATATATATATATATATATATATATATATAATTATTTATTTAAAAATTTTACATTTATTTATTTTTTAAATTTACATACACACACACACATACATATATATATATATATATATATATATATATATATATATATATATATATATATATATATGTCAACAGTTATTTAGATTTTTGTACTTGCTTGATTTCTGTGTCTCTAATTTGTAATTAACATCTTGGACTCTTCTTTTTGCTGACAACGATACATTCCATCTTTTTTTACAATTAATGGGTGAAGTCGGCAAATAATAAACTCCGTTAAATAAATAATTTTAAAGGAAAAGCCGCCTCAGTATCAAATTTTCGATTACACAAAAGCTTAACCCATATAAGCAAACAATTTCAAATATGCTTACATCATTTAATAATGTCTTTTTAAAAAGAACAAATCTAAAAACATATTTAAGTTGTAAATTTGATTCGTTTTTTATGGCTTATCAACCCTTTGCGGCTTATTTAAAACCAGATTTTATTTTTAGACTGTAAGAATATTTTTTCTGATAATAATGGTTTAGTGATGCAAATATTACTAATTAACCCATAGATGGGGGAAGGAATGGATTCATAACTAATCGGAATTTGCTAAACAAACAAGAAATTACAACGCGGATATAAAGTGGGGGATCAATTCTATATTAAAATCACTATATAAAATGGTCCCTCACTTTGTGGTCACGGTAGTTTCTATACGTTTATATTCCAGAGAATGTAAATAAATCTGAAAAACATGCTTGTGTAGCTAATCAGTATTTTATTGACTGACATTCGTTTCTTACGGCTTATCAACCCTTTGTAGGTTATTTAAAGGCACGAAATATTTTTACATCGCAAGAATTTTTTTTAGATACTAATGGTTTAGTGAAACACATCTTACTAATGAACCCATAGATGGGGGAAGGAATACAAGTTACAATCAATACATAAACTGATCCCTCATTTTGTAGCCACGGTACTTTTTATACATTTATATTCCTGAGAATGTAAATAAATCGAAAAGACATGCCAACACGAAATTATTATATGGATATAAAATGGGGGATCAATTCTATATCACACTCAATATATAAATTGATCCCCCACCTTGTGGCCACGATAGTTTCTATAAATTTATAATCCAAAGGCTGTAAAAAAATCTAAAAAAAAAAATCCCTGAATACCTAATCAGTATTTTATTGATTCAGTGATGCGTTTTTTACGGTTCATCAACCCTTTGCATTTACTAACTAACCCATAGCTGGAGGAGAAGAGTTGGATTCATGCCTTTCCCAAGGGTATTTGCGCGTAAGAATATAACGAACCCGACCGGCATTGGAACTCAGCTCGTTGATTATCAATTCCGAGCCATTATCCATTAGACCACCCACACATCGAAGCTTACAGCACCTTGGATTTCCAAACGGTCACCCTTTACGTACTGACCAGGCTCGATGTTGCTTAACTTAGGTGATTCATTCTTAGTTCGAAACAGGTTCTTTTTAATGATTAGTCCTTTCTTCTCGCTTTCTGTTGTGTCCTTGTGCGAAATTTTTCTTCTTCGATGCCCCGTGTCCCTCAAGGACGTGGGCGATCATGGCTCTCCACAACTTCTGTGTAAATACCAAGGACTGAAAATATGAGCAACTACAAAGTTCTAGAGAAAATGGAAACTAAAAGGACACATATAATCTAACATTAGAAAGAGAGAAATTAAATTTCTAGGGCACATAATGAGGAAAGAGGGCTTAGAAAATTTGATACTCACAGGACACATTGAAATCAAGAGGGACAGAGGAAAGCAACCCACAACCTACCTGGCGAGCTTGGATAAATGGATAGCAGAGCACGGTTTGGGGAGATAGCCAAAAGACAATAATTTATTAAGAGCTAAAAAGGACAAGAAATGGTGGAGAGCCATGATCGCAATGTCCTGAAGACACACAGCACATAGACGAAGAATGAGCTTGAATAAATGTATTTTCGATCAAGGTTTAGGAGAGGTAACAAAAAGTCACAATTTATTGAGAGATACAAAGGGCAGGAAACTGTGGAGAGCCATGATCGCAAACGTTCAGAAGGGTCACGGCACATAGCAGAAGGAGAATGAACTTGAGTAAATGGATGTCGGAACAAGTTTTAGGAGAGATAATAAAGGGACAACATCTTTTAAGAGCTACAAAGGACAGGAAATTGTGGAGAGCCATGATCGCCAACATTCTTAAGTGATACGGCACATAGAAGAAGATATTTGTATGGAATTTTCAAACATAACCTGAAGAAGGCGGGCATACTGTCGAAACGTTGTTAATCTCAGGGTCTTTTCTTTTTCTTTTCTTAAATCGGGCTTATCTCTAAGTGTGGCTAAATATTAGAAGAATTACGTGAATGTTTATTATTATTATTATTATTATTATTATTATTATTATTATTATTTACTTTGATTTCTGGCGTGTCTGATTTCTTTCCGGGTCAGCACCAGAGATCTAAGGTCAGAAATGGCATCATGACATTTTCCACTGAGCAATTAAAAAAAGTAAAAAGCACAAATATTTTACATAGATAAAGCCCTTCGTAAGGTGTGGGCTGTACTTGTGAGAATAATGTTTTGTATTTCTTTAACGAATAGGCTACCAGGAACCGTTCAACGAGTCTATTAAAATATTTCCCGATCAATCTGAGGGCTCCAACTACAACAGGAAATGTTTTATGTGCCACATTTTGAAGAGAAAAAATATTACTCGCAAATCATTTTTGAAGAAAAAATATTACCAGTAATACACTTTTGTTAAAAAATATTACTAGCAGTGAATATCTTGTAAGCATTAAATAACCCATTAAGGTTGATAAGTCGTAAAACAAACCAAACCAAAACAAACCATATTTAAAAATTACCAGCAATATATTTTTGTAAAAGAAATAAGTAATGTTCCCAAGGAAATTAAATTTCAGTATTAAATAACTCATATGCCATTAAACAAAACTCTAGTTGAAGGTTTACAAAAAAAAAAATCTAACAAGAATGAACTTGTCAATTTCTATTCTCACCACTGTAACAAGATAAAATCTGGAATAACTATAGGGTTTTACTTAAGAGCATTAAGAATCTACATACAGATTCTAATATTTACCTGAAGAAAAATATACATAGAAAACGCTCTCACAAAACTCCAATATCCTTATTATTTCATCCACGGTGGTAAGAGAAAGGCATACAGAATATATAACAGCGAAAATAATAATTGCATTATTAACAAAAATAATAACAATAAAGTAAAGAAAAACAGACAAATAATAAAACTTACTAAATCTTTAACATCTACTATTCAAATGTTAAGAAATGAAATAGAAAACGATAAAATACAAAACCTATTTAAAAAATATACAATACATAATTTAATCCCAAACTAAAATAATATACTGCATATGCTCGCGTACATGAGGCATTTGTAGACCTAATTTTGAAGCTAATTTTGACTACAGGAACTGGATATATAGTTTGGTCAAGGGCGTAGCCAGAGCCAGCAGTACATACGCTAATTTTATATGTCATGTATCAAGCGAACTCCTTAAAATTAGCTTCAAAATTAGGTCTTCAGAAGTCGCATGATACGCGAGCATATACGGTATAAGAAAGAAAACCCCGAAAGAAAGAGAAATTCAAAGAAAAAAGAAAAGAGAAAAAAGAAAAGAAAGGAAGAAAGAAAGAATGATGAATAAAAAAGAAGTATAAGAAAGAAAAATCGAAAGAAAGAGAAATTGCATAGAAAGAAAGAAAGAAAGAAAGACAGAACGAAAAAGAAAGAAAGAAAGAAAGAAAGAAAGAAAAAGAAGCTATCGCGTACTTATCGTCTGCTTCTGTGAAATAGAAGAAAGAAAGAAAGAAAGAAAGAAAGAAAGAAAGAAAGAAGCTCTCGGGTACTTATCGTCTGCTTCAATGAAATAGAAGAAAGAAAGAAAGAAAGAAAGAAAGAAAGAAAGAAAGAAAGAAAGAAAGAAAGAAAGAACGAAAAAGAAAAATCAAGAAAAACAGAAGTTCTCGGGTACTTATCGTCTGCTTCAGTAAAATAGAAGAAAGAAAGAAAGAAAGAAAGAAAGAAAGAAAGAAAGAAAGAAAGAAAGAAAGAAAGAAAGAAAAGCTCTCGGGTACTTATCGTCTGCTTCAGTGAAATAGAAGAAAGAAAGAAAGAAAGAAAGAAAGAAGCTCTCGGTTACTTATCGTCCTCTTCAGTGAAATATAAGAAAGAAAGAAAGAAAGAAAGAAAGAAAGAAAGGTCACAGAAAGAAAAAGGGGTACGCAATATTAATTAGATTACAACAAAAATTCAACAACAATCACTGACTTTTGTTTTTTAAACATTAAATTACTCAGCATCTTCCATAGTTTACGCCGACTCTTCAGTTAACCTTATTAATATTTATGAAAGTTCTTAAATTTAAAAAATTGAACGATATTTAAACGTACAAAGAAGAAAGGACTAATTATAAGAAGACGGAAGAAAGGACTAATTATCAGAAGACGGAAGAAAAGAATAACTATACAAAGAGAGAAGAAAGGACTAACTATGCAAAGATAGAAGAAAGGACTAATTATAAGCGGACGGGAAAAAAGGACTAACTATACAAAGAGAGAAGAAAGGACTAAATATGTAAAGACAGAAGAAAGGACTAACTATCGAAAGACAGAAGAAAGGACTAACTATCGAAAGACAGAAGAAAGGACTAACTATGCAAAGACCGAAAGAAGTCAGAAGAAAGACTAATTATAAGTAGATAAGCACCCAAAGGTGTGAGCTTCGAATAGGAGATATCAGCATCAAGCAGGTGCAGGCATTTAACTATTTGTGTAATAACAGAAGATAAAAAGCAGACACTTAAATTCCAAGACAAATCAGAATAAGGAAAGATGCCTTCCAGAAATCAAGCAAAGTATTTCGGTCGTATTCGTCACGTTCACTTTCTTACAAATATTCTTGGGAAAGGCATGAAACCATCTCTTCTGCAAATATGGGTTAAATGTAGGGTAGGAATCTGAGTAGGAGAAAGCAAACTCTGAATTCAAAGCCAACCGTACGATGGATAGGTTTCGTCAGGTTCTCTTGCCATAGACACGCCACTACTAATATGACTAAGTTACATGCAGTCAGTTACGGTACTTGTGGCATGATATGTCTAAGAAAAAGAGAAATGAATTCAAAGCAAACTTGAAGAGGGATAGACTCCGTCAGATTCCCTTGTCCTAGATACTCCACTGCTGATATAGCTACAGTACGTGGTTCCCCTACAGACAGTTGCAACGCTTGTGGAAGCCTGAATACAAAACCAACCTGAAGAGGGATAGACTCCGTCAGCCTACCTTGCCCTAGAAACACCACTGTTGTCGTGGCTGCACTACATGTAATTCCTCTATAGTCAGTTATTTAACTTGTGGCATCATGTGACTTAGAGAAGGAAAACTGAATAGAAAACTAACCTGAAGAGAGATAGAGTTCGTCAGGCTACCTTGCCTTAGAAACACCGCTGTTGCCGTGGCTACAGTACATATGCCTTTCCTATAGCCCCAAATAGGACTTCTACTATGATGTGTCTTAGAGAAAGAAAATTCAGTACATCTGTTACCCCTATCACCCCAATAAAATGATTTTATATTACAGGGGCGTCTTGTTAGAAGACTGGGTCACACATATTTAAATTCGTGACCTTTTGAGGATAATGTAATCAAAACTAATAGTCACCAAAACACTTGGCATTCATCGAATATTTTCGTACTTGTTGATAAGTTGTCAAACGGAGTTAGTAAATTGAGGTGACCAAGTTATCTTCCTCCCTTGTTACCCTTTCGGCCTGATTGCTAGATTCCATGAGGATTCTGTACGCATGCACCCCCCTTTTCACATCACATTGGCAGCGTGTGTTAATTTGGAAGTGAGGTAGAAGAAAACAAACACACATTATATACTCCGCCCAATACGTTCTTTTTTTCCTTTCATTTTATAGTTTATAAGTTTTCCCCCAAGATACCAAGAAAATTTGTTTTCCAAACGACTCCCAAAAAAAAACCATTCGATCCATTCTGGCTTCATAAAGGCGAACATAATAGTTAAAAAACACCCTCTAAAATAATTCGTATCATTTTAGAATAGCTTTCGAAAAGAATGCTGGAATATATATATATATATATATATATATATATATATATATATATATATATATATATATATATATATATATATATATATATATATATATATATATATATATATATATAAAAAATGGACAAAGTCCGACAATTTATTTATTAAAAGACATTTTTTATTTTTAATGTTCTTTTTATAGATACAAGTATTGAAGTAAATACTCGTCCTTTGACAGGATACGTATAGGATGCAGGTTCGAATCCTGTCAAAGGACGAATATTTTCTATGAAAATTTCTCAGACATTCAGGCCGGTAAATGTTATTTAATACTGTTTATTATAAACAGAGCATTTACTTAAATACTTGTATCTATAAAAAGAACGTTAAACATAAAAAATGTCTTTAATAAATAAATATATATATATATATATATATATATATATATATATATATATATATATATATATATATATATATATATAGTGGACTCTCCCGTTGTATGAGGGGCAAGCAGCTCAGTTCCTAGGAACTGATAGCCCAGACACCAGCACATATTTGATTATAATGGTAAATGTTTTGTGCAGAACCATCCACACTTATTGAAGGGCCGAATACAGAGACCTGGTGCACTAGGTGTCACAAGGTCCCTAAATGACCCTCCGCAGGTTTTGAATTCAGAGTTGTCCTTCTCTTAGACCAGTTGCCATCCAAGGCTACAGAACCCAGTCTGTCCTGCTATTTACTCATAGCTGGAAGGAGAAGAATAGGATTTATACCTTTTCCAAGGGTATTAGCATGTAAGTGAATGTAATGGATTTGACTGGAATTCGAACTCGGCTCTCAATTCCTCAATCCGAGACATATATAAAACACACACACACACACACACACACACACATATATATATATATATATATATATATATATATATATATATATATATATATATATATATATATATATATATATATATATATAACAGTAGAGCCCGACGTTGTCTGGGGATGTAACAGTAAGAGATAGATCAAGTATCGACCATCATAAAGACTGAAAAATAAAATTGACAAAGATTATTGTTTAAGGTTGACGGACACGCATGTCTTAATTAGTTTTTTTTTACGAATTGGTCAAACTCAAACAAAAACATTGTTTTCAATCGTTATGAGTCTACCAATTGAATAGAATTTTATTATAAACAATTGTTTTATAAATGGAATTTTTAAAGCATTCTGAATGTAAAAATAAAGAAAAAAGTGTGCAAGACAATAAGAAACACTACCTGCCAAAAAAAAAAAAAGTTTTTTGAAATCGGTTGAAAAATGTAGGAAATCTGATCCCATATATAAACGAACACACACACACACACAACCTGGGTTTTATAATAAGTATAACTCGACATGAGTTGTCCCCCTTTCATTCTTGCAATTCCTCTTAATCGTGTTTTCAAATTGATTTTGTGCAAAAACAATTGTGTTTTTCCAATTTTGGCGCTGTCAGAACCACCGCAAGGTAATTTTACGTAGTCCTGTGAAGTTTTGTTGAAATCGGTTGAAAAATGTAGGAAATCTGATCCAATATATAAACGAACAGACACACACACACACACACACACACAACCTGGGTTTTATAAAAAGTATAATTAAATAATTCAATTCTATTATATTTTCATGTTTTAAAAGGTGTATAATCTATTAGTAATTAAAATTAAGAATATTTTAAAATTGTAGTTCAATACGACGTATTCATATACAAACAACCCTTTTAGAAAAAATCTTTATGTATATATCTATCTATCTATCTATCTATCTATCTATCTATCTATCTATCTACTTCACTCTGCTATCTATCTATCTATCTATCTATCTATCTATCTATCTATCTACTTCACTCTGCTATCTATCTATCTATCTATCTATCTATCTATCACAGTCTTTTTCCTTGTATCCATCATAGCCTTTTTCTTTCTATCTGTCTATCTATTTATCATGTTCTTTTTCTATCTATCTATCTATCTATCTATCTATCTATCTATCTATCTATCTATCTATCTATCTATCGTCTTTTCGTTGTCATTCTCTTGTATATAAATAAGTACAAATTTAACGGTGAAACA